AAAAAATCTTAAAACGGGCAGGTCACCCGACGTTGAGACCATTTCTTTTAGAAAAAGCATGGATTTTTTCTAAAATAACAAATCTTAAAAACGGGCAGTCACCTGACATTGAGACCATTTTTAGAAAAAAACATCGAATTTTTCTAAAAAAGAAAATAAAAAAAATAAAAATAAAAATAAAGATGTGAAGTGTTGAGACCATTTCTTTTAGAAAAAGTGTGGGTTTTTTTTCTTAAAAAACAAATCTTAAAAACGGGCACGTCACCGGACATTGAGACCATTTTTAGAAAAAACATTGATTTTTTCTAAAAAAAAATAATAATAAAAATGTGAAGTGTGCTAAAACAAGTAGATCACCTGATAATGAAACCATCGTTAAGAAGGCATCAAGTTTTTGAAGGTTTAATAATCCTTTTTATCTTTACGAAACTTGCTACTCAAGTCTTAGCTTCGCAAGTTTCGTAAAGAGGAGGCATCTGTCGTTACTCATTTTTTTAGCCATACACGCTAATGGAGATGGTGTATATCTCCTTTTAAATTGAAGGCAGGGGTTTAGTTCGAGTTTGCAGGGAGATTGATAAAAAAAAAAACAAAACAAAAAAAGAAGGAAATGTGTTTCAGATCATGTTTAAGCTGGTGTCTGCTCTCCTTATCCTTCTCCTTCGGTGTCAAAACTATCAGGATTCTTAGGCTAATTAGGATTCTTTAAAATGCTAAATTCATTCCTTTTCTATTTGGTTTCTAAGGTTAGATAAATCCCGCATAAGCTCCACTAAAAATTGGCTCCTGCCGTTGTTGTAAATTTTTGGTTCGAGCCTAGGCTTTGATTCTGATCTAGTTCCATGCAATATCCAATCATCCCGACTATATTTTGTCACTTATGACATGTTGAAAATTGACCTACACTTTTATTAGGTCCTAAGGCTCACTATTTTTATGGCAGACTCTCAGTCAAAGTAGGATGCTTGGCATTGTCAGATCAAGGGGGTTTTTTTTTACCAGTTAGGTTGCAGCCAATTTTTTGTACTTCAAAATGAATTTTTCTCATTTTTTTATCCTTCATGAAAGTGGGAGAAGTGGAGAGTTCTTGTGTGAATATCTGATGTGAAAGTGGAGAATTCCGTCGTGAGCAGGATTCCTACCCAAATTGCACTAGAAACGTTACTGCTCCCGTCATAATTTTTCTGGTTGTTATTTTTAGGTTATACTCCCAATCATATCAGGATGCTCGGTATTCGTCAGGTTTTGAATCAAATTAGGAGAACATTTTTTTTCTCTTTCACCCAAAACCAGATTACGACCTGATTCTATTCTGTAAAATGATTTTTTCTCACCTTGAATTCTTCGTGAAATTTGTGGACCTACACGCGTAGATAAATTTTGGTTTTTGAATAGTTTGATTTCAATATCAGGAGCTCAAGATATTCATGTTTGAATATCTGATGAGGAAATGAAAATTCTACCGCAAAATTTTGTTACAAAATTCTGCCGCAAAACTTTTCTGCTGCAGGAAGGATTTTGCCCCTTAATTTTTCAGGATTGAATTGAAAAAATGAAATAAGGGAGTTAATTGCATATATCAATTGGAAGAAACTTAGCCGGGTTTTAAAATAAAAAATAGAAAAGGGATAGGATCAGCAAGTGACAGAAAAATTTGCCACCATGAATTACGTGGCTGCTGCTGTAGTCTTTTTCAGCAATTCAAACAACGTCGTCATACATTACTTCGCATTTGTTTTTTTCTTTCTTCAGCTGAGAAAAGAAGCGGCACCGTTTTGAAACAGCCCCATTATGGCACTGCCTATTTGCATTTTCAGAACAGTACCGTCCCTCTACTACCATTCCCTACTAATTTTTGAAAATTGTCGTCCTTCCCTCTGCAACCTAGCATGTACAGGACAGCCCCCCGTTTCACGCCTGTGCTGCTGTAACTCAGAGCAGTCCAAGGGAAACGATTCTTGCCCCTCCTATATGCCAGCTGTAGAAGAAGACATGGGGGGAGCCTCATCATCATCTAAGGGCTGGGATTGTTTCCCTAAGACATACGGTGGAGATGAGAGAAAGAGGGGGGTCTTCAGCTTGTATATAGAACAGACAACTTTGCAAAGAAAAAGGGGGAGGCGGAGAAAGGAGAAAAAAAAGAAGGAAGAGAGGAGGAGGCAGAGAAAGAAAAATAGAAAAAGAGAGGGATACGGGGAGAGTTTAAATACAAAGAAAAGGGGGTAGAGGGAAGAGGAAAATACAGTGAGAGCAAGCACAGAAAAACAAAGAGAACAAGAGAAAAAAAAACGATCTCCAGTCTATCCTCCGTTGTCGAAAAAGAGGTCACCAAACCTACGGGTTTTCTAAAAACTCTTAACGGCAAAAAAAGGAAGGTTGTCTTTAGTTTCAGAGGTAGAAAAGCAAAGGTCACCAAACCTGCATTTTGTTGTGTGGCTCTTTCTCAAAACCTGTTTTATGGTTTTTGCTCTAAATATTCTGTTTTATTATGGTTTGAATGAAAGGAATAAAAGGATTGTGTTTACCCACTGTCATTGCCATACTTTATAGTTTAGATTGCTTGTATCGTTGCGATTGCGTTTTTCTCTTGATCTTATGTTAAGGATGCATGCTTCTTCTTTTTGTTGGTTTATTACTACGAGGAACCATGAGTTTATGGCCCAGCAGCATCCTCAAATATAGATGCCTGTTTCTGCTGTAGTGAAACATGGCATCTGTTGTTTGTTTATTTTCCAAAAGCTGTTCCTCGCTTTGCTCTAGACGTCAAGCTTTTTTTTCTTGGCTTGGACATACGGTTTTGAGCTTGCCCACTGATACTTCCTTGATCTTTAGTTGGGTTATTATTTGACGTTAAAGCTGCATGCTCCTTTCTTGGTTCATTTTTGTGAGAGACCATGAGTATTTATGGTTTTCATAGCCCCTCACTCCCTCTGCTGGAGCTGTCTCCTGCTAAAAGGTTGCATATATAGGAATGGTAGTGGCTTAGAGAAACATAGTTGCTACGCGGGGAGGAAGAAGGGAAAACGAAAAGAAGAAGGAGAGAATGGTAGAGGGAAACAGAGAGAGTTTAGATATAGACAGAAAAAGAGTGAAGGCGAAAAAAGAGAGAAGAGGGGAGGCGGAGAAGAGAGAATATAAACAGAGTAGGGGAAATGTAGAGGGTGAACACGTAGAAGAAAAAAAAATGCAATAGAAAACACAGAGGGAGGAAATAATAAAATAGAGAAGAGCTCGACTGCAATCTATCCTACCTTCCCGAAAAAGGAGTTTAACAAGCTCTAAAGAGTTCTTTTTGAAAAAACTCCAAACGGCAAGAATAGGAAGGTTTCCTTTGGGGGGTGAAAGGTAAAGTAAGGAGGAGATTGCTTGGCGGTTTGCGCCCCATTTTCTCGGTTCTATGAGCAGGTGCTGCAGAATGTCGCAGGGGAAGCAGTTTTGTTTCTAAACAAAGCTTTGGACAGAGAAGGAAATATATAGCGTAAGGGAAGTTTTGGGGAGGGGAAAATAAAAGGGCATAAGGGAGGTTTCCTTTTTAGATGAGGTTTTATTTTTTTCTTTACACATGCCTGGAACAGGTCCGATTATCAGGTGAGTCCTCTAACTTCACTTCACACATGCCTGGAACAGGTAAAAGTACTTTTGCAAAGAAGCGTCGTGCAAAACGACTGGATGTCTGTCATCGATGTGCTAGATGGACTTGTAATACACAATGTCGTTCTTTAGGAATGGTATCTATAAACCGTGAAGATAAAATACAATTCATTAAGGATGGCCTGAGTAAGGAGTCTTTAGATAATCTTCTATTGACTCTTGAGACGCATCCTAGTGGAGATGTGCATCGTGCAATTCATGATTTATGGCCACTATTTCATAAAGAACATGATCGACTTAGTCTTGGGAATCTGACTAAAAAAGACCCTGTTTGCCAGTTTTTAAGAAAACTGGATGGGAAGCCTATCCCCGA